TGAGAAGAGACAAAGCACTCATCTAAACCACAACATGACTGAATGTTCCCTGCTCCCAGATAACCCATTAACTGCTGTATCTTCAGCAAAGCTTCTGGCAGGCTGCCCTTTGGCCTGCTACCTAGATGGGCACTATGATGAAAGGCATCACAGAATCACCGCCGCTCTCTACCAGCACCTCCTTCTGCACATTGTGGGCTTACTCCTCCAAAGATAGCCAAGTCCTGACATCTGGCTACCTGATGTAGGGATAGAATCTTACCAATATATGAGATAATGCTAACGCTGAATGCACCTAATCCAGTGACAAAAGCCCTTCTAAGGATAAGCTGTGAGTACAGTCACATAAATAGAAGAAAAACCACAGGAAAAGACACACTAGAAGCGAGGTTGGAGTGATGCAGTGCAAGCTACAAAATAATGGGGACTGCCTGCAAATACTAAAATCTGGAGGCAAGAAAGGTATTTTGCCTGGGTAAGCATGGTTTAGCAACACATTGATTTCTTATATTAGCTTTTATACCTATAATATAATATATATTTGTTGTTTGAAGCCGCCAGTTTATGGTAATTTGTGGATATACAGAGCAGGGGCTAGAGAGATGGCTCAGCAGTTAAGAGTGCTCGCTGCTCTTGCAGAGTTCCACTCCCAGCACACACTTTGGACAGCTTACAACCATCTGGAGCTAGGGGTCCAGAACCCCTTTCTGGCCTTCACAGGAATTTGCACAGACATGTGCACAGACACACACAGAGGCACATGTACACATATATGAAAAGTATATGTGATGGCTTAGTGGCTAAGAGTATTGGCTGATTTTCCAGAGGACACAGGTTCAATTTCCAGAACTTCACCAAGTATAACTTCTCCCTTGTAGGGACAAGGGACAAATGTAATTATGTTTGATTTGTGTTCCTGTCTACCTTTGGCTCCTAGGCTTTGCCCTCTTCTTCACCTACATTGAAAGGAGGCTAGAGAAATGGCTCAGTAGCTAAGAGTGTGTACTACTCTTGCAGAGAACCTGAGTTCAGTTCCAAGAATCCATGTTGGGAAGCTCACAATCACTTGTAAATCCAGCTCCAGAAAATCCTATGCCCTCTTATGGCCTCTTCAGGCACCTGTATACATGTACACACACAGAGGTACACACAGGTACACATGCACATACAAACACACACACACACAGAGAGAGAGAGAGGTACACACAGGTGCACATGCACACAGAAACACACACACACACCTATAAATTAAAAACAGACCTTGAGGAAAAAAGAAAGAAATGGAAACTACCTGACTTGCAACATTTGTTAATCAGTTGGTCACTAGAAGTATCTTTTCTTAAAATCGCTAATTGGGACCACCCCTCTGTTAAGCAGGCTGGAAGTTTGGATCCAGGGCCACTAATATATGGTTTGGATGAAGCCAGGCTGCTCTTAACATCCACTGGGATTTGTTACAGATAGCCCATGTGAGGGCTGGATTTCAAACTCCTGAAGCCCTCAGTCAAGAGTGTCAGAACGAGAGGGTCATCTGTATAGGCGAGTACTCAAGGAGACATGTTTTATCAAAGAACTTACATCAAACATCAAGACCAGTTCCTTTCTTCTTTCCTCTGTAAATTGCCCATACATGAGTATTGCTTTGAAATCTTCATGTACCCCAGAAGACAGGCATCCTGAGGAGAAAGTGGCTTAGGGCTCCATGGTGCCAGCTTGATCCATTCTGTGATTCAGCAAATGTTTAATTTTCTAATGTCAGCCACAATATTATTAATTTTCAAAGTCTTACCTCTGCCAACCTTTTATTGTAATAAAAGAATGCAAGTTCCTCCCACATCTCTCTGAGGATTCCTCTGGAATTATTTCAGATGATAGTCCATTTCCTAAATGGTTTTCCTTTCCTCCAGGGGTGTTCATTTATTTCATTCCTTCTTTTTCTGCTTGTTGGTCTTCACCTGAGTACCTGCTGGTTGACGTCTTGGCTCATACATATGAAGAGAGGACTAAACTGTCTTGGTGGACAGCTTGTTTCCCCAGAATGTGAGCTGGCCTCTTTGAGGTTATAGCATGTATGAAGAGCAGACTTCCCCACAGAGAGGTGCAACATGGGGCAACCTATAGACCTTACTGAGTGACAGCTGAGGATTTTCCTTCTAAGTGTTCACATTTCAGTTGTTTTCACTCCTGAGTAGAACCATCTTTTATTATTACTAAATATCAGTGACTGATATCACCCCTAAATAGATCTCAGCTGTCTTCAATGAGGTCTTGGCATTTTAACCTGATGGAGAAGTCACTGTTGAACTCTCAATAACCTTGTTGTAAAAGTTAATTTTAATATAACTGTATGTAGTTATTTAATACAGCAACTGTTTCTTTTTATCCTAGCTAGTTCCCCTATAACGACACAGACAGAGCAAAATGTATTTAAGGCTTTACCTCAATACCTGGCAGTCAATTATCTATTTTAATCCCTAAAGTAATCTGGCTACGTTCCAGCCAAAAACCCCATAATACTTGCATTTAGGGCCCTCCACTCTCCAGCTGAACTCTTATGAACTCTTTCCTCCTTGTGTCTTAATCCCTCCCCTTCTCTAGCTGGTGGAACTATCACCCTATTCTCTCTTCTGCCCAGCCATTGGGTGAACAGCTTTTCTTGACAAGGCAGATAATAAATGGTAAGAAATGTTTGCACAAATTTGAGACAGGAGATTTTTTACATAAGCATTCCAATGCCATGTCTGGATTGAAACAAGATATGAAGGCAGGGAAATCAGCGTTTGAATAACACATGGATAAGCTTTACATTATGCACAAAAACATTATGCCCGCACCTTGTTTGTTCTGCATAGAAAAGGGGAGGGAAGGACCAAGACAAATTGTCCTGGGGCTCAGGTCTGCCCTCCTCGAGCTTACTAATGCTGAGTTTGGAAATTCTTGAACACATTCACTGAAGAGCATATCCGCCTCTCTTTACCTTGGGGCTACACTTTTCTCAGGTATACAATCTGTTTCAATTTATTTCATCATCTGGTAATTTTTTTTCCTCAAAACTTTCTCCCTGGAATTTCTTTTCTCCTTTGCATCGTAGTTTTATCACATGGGAGCAGGTGTGAATATAAACACACCAATAGAGACACACATAGAAAGAGAGAGGAAGGGAAGGAGAGAGACCTGTACCTATGCTTGCTGGAATAGGAGGAAGAGTAGTAACTAACTATACAGTTCACTTGATCTTGAGACAGAAAGTGCATCAGTTCCATTCTTACAAACATGCATCCTGTAAAGGAATATCAACCAAACATTCCAGTCTTCAAAGGCACTACACACTTTAAATGGTTCAGGTGCACAGTCCTTCTCGTTCACCACTAGGACTGTGCTATAGAATAAATCATCGGGAGCTGCAGCGGTGGCTCAGCCCCGCAGGTAAGAGCACTGGAAGCTCTCGCAAGCTTTGGGTTCAGTTCCCACCAATCACATGATGTTCACAACTGTAACTTCAGTTCTAGGAGATCCAGCTCCCTTTTCTGACTTCAGTGGACACTATATCCCTATGGTGCATATACATAATGCAGACAAAAGTCTCGAACATAACATAAAGTTAATTTTTTTTAAAGTAAAAGAATGAACCGAGATCCACTCTTGGGACGGCAGTCCCTCTGCTCAGTGTTCCTGTGCGTGCCTGCCACAGTGGTTCAGAGTCAATGGAAGTTGCCACTAGTGAAATTCCCCAAGGCCTTTTCAAACGGTCAAGTTTGTCTCTTCCATGTATTATATTTTTTTGAGAACTTGTAAATATTTCCCAGAGCTAAGTGGAGGTTATGAGTGAAGATTCCCCAAGAACACATGTTCCAGGTTATCATTTTATTTAAGAGAAAAATCGGATTTAAACTCCTTAGTGGGGAGCAAAAGGACGTGTCTTCTTGTAGAACTGTGCTTGACGCTGGTGAGCAATGCTCACGGGAGCTAGAAGATAACTGACAACAACATTCCAGAAACCACCCTTCTTAGAGTCTTAGCTCCAGATTGTAAACATTAGAGATGACCAACAAGGCAGCCTGAAGTTGATCAGCTTTGTTTTCGTTTCAGATGATGGGGCGCTTCTTCAGCGGCTTGGCACAGTCGGGGGCCTGGTGCTGCTTTGACGAATTCAATCGGATTGACATAGAAGTCCTGTCGGTCATTGCTCAGCAACTCATTACTATTAGGAATGCCAAAGCGGCAAAGGTGAGGCGATGTCGTGCTGGCTGGCTGTCAACGGAGCCTCCTCAGATTGGTCATGAATTCAGCAAGCAGTGCCTTAGAAAGGATATGGTTTCAGGGTAACCGGTGAATGCCACACAACTTCCTTGGGTATATGAAGTCCTGGTCTAAGCAAAATGAAGAAATACATGCTGTGCCAGATCCTGGGGATACAGAGACCCTAATGCCTGAGCCCAGGAAACCCTTCTTCCCAAAATATACACATATATACATATGTACAAACATATACACAGTGCACACACACAAACACTTCCCTCCTCACTTTTCTTCTCTTGCGTTTGACATTTACATACCTGCTGTTTCTTTAATGCCCTCTTTTCTGGGTCACACCGCTTTCTTCATGGCTTCCAGGGTCTACAGAATGTTAGTGGGAAAATAGAGGAGAGAACCTAAGAAACCCAAGGAGTCCAAGCTCTTCAGAACTTACTACTGGACAATCTGAGGGTCAAATGAAGATTCTGAGTGTTCCTGCTACTTAAAACACCCTGATTCCTGAAGAAGGGGGTTTGTACTTGGCAGGTGATGGCTATGAAGGATAGACCGTCTAGGTTTGGTCACCAACAAGAACAACAATTCAGCCTACACAAACAAGAACCTTCCTCATTCCCTCAAGGGAACTAACTGCCACAAGTTCCTTAATTCCTACCTCAGCCCCTTCCAGAATTTGCCTGACTTCCTAAGGCTCCATTCATAGGTTCATATTGCAAAGCTAGGGGTCTCTGGTAAAGTAATTAGGTCCAATGTGGGACCCAGCAGGCCACTCTCTCAGGCTCTGTCCTAGTGGCATAGGGGAGCGTAGACTCTGTCCCTTTACAGTCCCTTTCCACAAAGCTGGAGATGAAGCTGGGCTTCAAGTCTGCTCCTGCACATTCTGTGACTTCCCAGAGTCATAGAATGTGGATGATTACTGAGGAGACAACCACGCAGAAAACAATTCAAAATGCTTCAATTAAAAAAAAAAAACAGAAAAAAGTTAAGGTTATTTTTATGACCTCTGTAAAATAGTGAATTATAGGAAAAAAGAAAGAAAGAAAGTTGGGGCTGGAGTTTTAGTGAGTGGCTAAGGGAGCAAATCTCTGTGGTGGATTTGTGTTTGCATTAACCCTTTGTGGAGGAGACAGATGCAGGTGAAGATGATTCAGAGAAGTAGAGAATTATTTCTACAGGCATCACAGACACACACCTGACTCCTATCATCTGCCTCCAGCCCTGCTTCCCATCTACTCTGTGAAGATGTGGATTAAATGCAAAGATTTGCAGATAGATTTTGCAAATCACTACCATCTTGCTGAGTAACCCACAGAGAGCAAATCTGGAGATCAAAGAGGGCAGGAACCAGAAAGATTAGAGGCTGCTTGATGCATTCCCAGCTGGAGTGCAGCCCCGGAGTTGGAGTTGGAGTTAGAGTCAACACCCTCTAGAACCAACAAAGAAATTGAAACCTAAGTGTAGTCTTGGACAGTAGAAGTATCCACTCTGCAGCAGCCAGAACAGCCACCATTTTCTTCCCAGGCAAGGCTACAGGGCTCAGCGCCACCTGGGTCTTCTCTGTAGTCTCATGTGGTGTTGCAGACTAATTGTGAATTGCAGGTTCTTACTCTCTTTGCTGGCAGTGAGTGTCTCGGCACAACCAATTCACCAGCTCAGAAAGGAGATCAGGAATGGGGGTCTGCAGTCTATGCTTCCCCTTGGGGGGGTCTGCACACCAGGCAGGAAAGGGAAAGCAGAGCCCTAGTCGGGCAGGATCCTATCCAATTGAGGGCAAGCACTGAGTACCAGAGGGGCAGGAGAAGAGAAAGGCCTTCTTTGGGAGTCTTAGTGTCACGAATCCTTTAACTTTAAGCAAAGGCCTTCCTAGTGGCCTGATGGTGATCTTTAATGAAGCAATTCTCTGAGAGAATCCTTGCTTGTTCATATTGCTTTATGGGGGTGGGGGGTGGGGGAGATGTGTATGCATACACTTTATTTGGGGTGAACCAGGGATTATATACTTTTGGGGGAAAGGGTATGAGAATATCCAGGAAGGGAAGGTCATTGGCTGAAGGATAAGGCTATCTAGATCCCTCATTAGTATGGAGAAGAACTCCAGGTGCTATGCTATGTGACTGAGTGCCTGTGGTCCTCTCAGTTGGTGGTCATGGTTAAGCATTCCAGAGCAGGCACTGGAGACTGGGAAAGAGCAGCTCCACTTTTACCTGCTCAGATCTCTGAGATTTCCTGGGTTTGAGCATGCTTCACTTCACCAGTCCATACGCCCGTCTGGTAGTGTGATCCCAAGTGCCCTACAGTGTCAGACCTAGGTGTCAGGCCACCTTCACCCAGTGGCCCAACTCGGAACCTTGGCTTCATCTCTGTCTTGTCTCTTTAGCATCATCCTAGAATCTAAGCTATCACTGGATGGTATGAATTGCATCTGCTGGGAGCCCTTCATTCTCAGATTCTGGCTCTTGTCTCCCCCGTGACGATTCTCACACACACCCCAGTTTGTAGTTTGCCCAAACTGTTCATTGTCACCTCTACTCCATCACCCTCGAGTCCTTTCTTCCCACAAGCAGTGAAACAAAGGGAAAATTCTTTAGCTTAGCATGCAAGGACCCCTGGCTCAGAGCCCAGTGTGCTTGTAATTTTCTCCCTGTCATGAAAAATACCTGACTAGGAGCAACTTTAGAGAAGAGGACTTTATTTGGCTTACAGTTAAGGGTGATAGAGTCCATCAAGATGGGGATGGGATGGAAGTAGAAGTTTAGAGGCTAAGACCTTGTAATGAAGGCACAGTGGTAGGTAAAAGGATTTCCACTCATCACAGATCACAGCAGACTAGACGGTTCCACGAGGGGAGGTTTATTAAGAGAGTGGGAGAGCAAGAGAGAGAGAAGAGTAGAGAGGGTAGAGGCCGGCCATGACCACGTGGAGAGAGGGAAAAGGGAAGGGAGGAGGGGAGAGGACAACCTGCAGGCGCACGGGGTCGAGGAGCAAGAGAGAGAGGAGGGGCCAAGCAGCCCCTTTTATAGTGGGCAGGGCTACCTGCCTGTTGCCAGGTAACTCTGGGGAGGAGCGTACCTGGCTGTTGTAGGTGGAGTTTAACAGATTACTAACAGTAGGAGCTTGAGGTAACTGGTCAGTCAGGAAATAGAAAGAAGGCAGGAAGTAGGCCAGACTACAGAACCTCAAGGCCTACCTCTAGTGATTCACTTCTTCCAATGAGGAGCTGCCCCCTCCAAGTTCTACAGCCTTCTGAAACAGCACCACCAGTTAGGAGGTGAATGTTCCAACAAAGAGTCTATGGACATTGCATATTCACTCCGTAGTGCCAGGCCTAGCTATGCTGCCATCTGAACTTTGTTGTCACCCTTTAGCAAAGTAGGTTTCTGAATGTGCTGTGTTATTTATTGTGCTTGCTCCTCTTGCCTGAAAAACTGTCCAATTATCAATTCAAAATGCCCCTCCTCATGCTTCAGGTCTCCAGTAGCCTGGCTGTTTCCAGCATGAGTTTTGTATACAGACACACACAGACACACACACAGAGACACACACACAGAGACTGACAGACAGACACACACAGAGACAGACACAGAGAGACACAACACACACAGACAGATACACACACAGAGACAGACACAGAGAGACACAACACACACAGACAGACACACACAGAGAGACAGACACACACACACACACACACAGAGAGAGAGAGAGAGAGAGAGAGAGAGAGAGAGAGAGAGAGAGAGACTACTGTTGCATCTGCCACATGAGATGACCAGAGTGTCCAGGTCTGACTACACACACAGCATGAGAGTCCTCCAACTCTGTGTCACCCTGGTAGCCCCAGAGCTTCAACCTGCAACAGCTGTTCAGTAATCATCTACTGTTGGATGAAAGCAAGGGAGTAGCGCTGTGGCACAGAGGCCCTGGTGCTCAAAGACTACAACTAGACTGGAATTTCTTTGGGGAGTCCCAGAAAGTAGGCGCGGAGAAGGTAAACTGACAAGTCTCAGCAGAAGGAGAGACCCGAGGCTTTCAGGACTGGGTCAGGAAGGAACCTGGGCAGGGCAAAGCTGGGAGCAGAGAGCAGTGAACACCGAATCCAGAGGAGACTGGACATAGGCAGATCAAGAGAAAGCTTCCTCAGTCCCACAGAAGAGGTGTTTCTTTAGCACCCTCCCTCCCCTCCTTTAACAGCTCTCCAGATTCATGTTTGAGGGACGGGAAATCAAGCTCGTTATGACCTGCGCGGCTTTCATCACCATGAATCCCGGCTACGCAGGCAGAACGGAACTGCCAGACAACTTGAAGGCCCTGTTCAGACCCATGGCTATGATGGTTCCTAATTACGCACTGATTGCAGAGGTGAGCTTCAGACTCTAATGAAGCAAGGTTTTATGCAGTTTGTTTTACTTGCCTTCTAATTCTCTCAAGACAGAAACACCTTCTATTTCCTAGTTTCATTTTTTGTTACCATGATGAAATGCCTCAACCAAAAGCAACTTAAGAAAGAAAGAATTGATTTTGACTCATGATTCCAGAATGCAGTCCATCAAACCTGATAAGGGGGCAGGAACTTAAACCCACGGGTTACATCTACAGACAAGAACAGAGAGAAATGAATGTATGCTTGCTTACTTATAGTCAGCTCACATCCACACTCAGTCCAGGAACCAAACGCAGGGAATGGTGCTGCCCACAGTGGACAGGTCTTTCCCCTCAGCAATCAAAACAATTCCCCATAGACATAACCACAGGCCAACCTGATGTAGACAATCCCTCATTGAGATTCTCTTCCCAGGTGATCCTAAGACTGTGACAAGTGGACAGTTGTCACCATCTTACTTTCTAAGTATCCAAGCAATGGCTGCTCACCATTGCTCAACCCCCCAAAACAGAGTCTGCTTCAATCTGCATGCATATTTAGTTTTCAGTCTTACTGCCAATATCCAGAATGCCTCAGATGCTTTTTAGAATATAACCAACTCCTAAAAATGGAATGAACCAACATATGTCGTTAACCCATCTACTGAGGTTTATCAGTTCATCTCTAGAAGTTAAAATGTCTGGATTAGTTCTAAAAAAAAAAAACAGCATTATCTTCATTTCTCTTTGGATTTAAATTTAATTTAGAGTCAAGAAGTATTAGAACCCAGTCTGGTGCCTCGTGCCTATAATCCCAGTACTCAGAAGGCTGAGACAGAAGAATTACTGTGAGTTCAAAATCAGCTTGGTAACAGAGTAAGACAACATCTTTAAAAAAAAAAGGAATAACATAGGAAGAAATAGTGTTGGGTCAAAGCTGTATTAATCACTTGAATATTAATAATAGTCATAGCTGTTTGAAGAGAAACCAGTAGTCATTAATAAATTAATTACAGTTGTTTATTCCTATATCTATCAAGGAATCCTTTTGTTTCGACGTTCTTGGTCTTTCAGTCTAGCTAAGAATCCGTGTGTATAAGCTTTACATGTGTTTCTCAAAGCACTTCTAATGGAGGTACGCTTTATATACAATAAAGCACACACAGCTCGTAAGGACCCAAGTGGATGTTCGCCCAGAGATTCATCTGTCTGGCGCCAAGACCAAAACACCGGGCTGCTTTTCAGAACTCCAAAAGCTCCCTTGAGCTCTGCGCTGTGTTTTAGATTGATGGGCATTTCCCCTTTTAGAATGGAATTTCTCGGAATGAACCCATTACTCCTGCCGCTAATACATTCCTTTGAATTATTAAAGACTCTTTTACCTGAAGTAAAAGGAATTGATTAAGGCTAGACCAGACCAACTCTAAAGGAATTTCCACTTGAATTAGCATAATGCTTGACTAGTTTGTTCAGAGGTGTCCTGTATCTCCTGTGGACAGAGTGGTGCAGAGGCCAGAGGTGTCCTGTATCTCCTGTGGACAGAGTGGTGCAGAGGCCAGTTTAAAGAAGCAGCATCTTTGCTCTTGCTT